CCTACAGCAATTGATAACTAGCAAGTAATCAGATCATCTCCTACAATGGAATTGGTTGGAAGAGAATTGCATATGTGCTGCTTCTTGTATCTTTCAAAAGTGTCTAAAGATGCATGCTTGTGCCATCTACAAACTCATATAAATTTGTTTCAATTCCCCTTTACTTTCAATTAGATCTATAAACTCCTCTACTCAATGCTAAAGTAACTCTCACACATAGCAAAACGGGTGGCAGCAAAAGACTTTGCCTTTAACCAACAGATAAATCATAAATCATATATCACAAATCACAAATCAACCCAGAAACTGAATTAATTCAGATACATACACAGGTATTAATACATTTACAATAAAATGAGAATCAAAGGGGAAAAGAAAACAAAGAAAAAGACTACAAATCTGACCTTTCCAGAGATTATGATCCAGCAATCTTTCTTGTGGTTGTGCTTGGCCACCTCATCGAAATGATAAACTTGAGAATCTGAAGCCATTCCTGCAGCTGCCTCTGTTCATCACAAAGTCAAACCCCATCAACACCAAACCAAAAAATGGTGAAAACCCAACAAAAATAATTAAAAAGACAGAAACTTTAAAGCTAGATTTGATCCATAAGTTACCAAAGTAAAAAGCTTGATGAGGAAATCAACAAAAAAGTGATAGAGAAGTCATGCTTCTTTTCTTACATAGGAGAGAAGAAGAAGAAGATGTTGGGCTTCGAAGCACAGCTCCTCTTTGAGTTGAGTAACTTGTCTTACTCTTGACCTGTCCTCAATATGCTGACCTTTTATTATATGAGTAGCTAGTTGAGTAACTATATATAATATTTTCTGTACCTAAAAAAAAACTATATATAATATTTTGCCTCAACCCAGATTTATACTTAGTATTAAATTGACCCACCAACCAAGTTCTTTAATTTACTCTCTAATTCCCTGTGTTGTTGTATTGCTACTGTCAAACTTTCACACCCCTCTCTCTCTGTCTCTCTCCTTGGTCCAAGTTGGCTCCTAATTTTAAAATGTTTTTTTTCCCAAACTTTTTCATATCATTCAATAAAATACACTCATGGAGTTATTTTCCTTGCAATATAGATTAATCAGCTGTTTGTCCACCACAGGCATAATTCTTTGATTTTAGCATAAATTTAGTGTGAGCCTGCCAATTTTTTTGCTTTTTTTTTTTTTTTTGGGTCAAAGAGCCTGCCTTTATGATTGGGGGCTGCTATGCTATATATGCAGCTAAAATCAATTGATCAAAAGAGTAATTTTTTGTTTTTTGTTTGTTTGAAAATTGGTGTATTAATTAGTCAATCTTTGGATGCACTTTAATTTAAACCCCCATATTCTTGGAGGAAAAAGAAGGCTCCCTCCCCTCATATTATTTTTGGATTCACTATTTTCTTAAAAGGATTGTCAGTTGAACAGAATGTAATGGTTACTTTTCTTCTAATTTAAACTGCCTGTTTTCTCAACCAAAGAAAATGATAGCTGATGGTGGGGTTTTTCTAAATTCTCTAGTACTATGGGCTTTCGGTGGAATTAATCCCTTGAGGATGGGCCAAAGTTGCCAAACTGGTCTGCCTCATCCTAGATCCAACTAGAGGGTGCTTAGAGTGAAAATTAATGCTGATTTTATAGGTAATCGAATATGAAAATTAATCCTTTCAATTATCCACATCAAAAGCGTTTGATGTGAAACAAAACCAAACCATTAATTCATGCCGCGAAAGGAGGAAAAAAAATTGGGAAAGTAGATAATCAGATATGATTGATGAGACAAGAAACCAAAAAAAAAGGAAAAAAAAAAAGAGAAAAAAACATAACATGATTATTAATAATTGTTACAAAAACAAGTGGTTTATTCTAAACAAATTGAGCCAAAGTTTGTTGTTGCAAAGTACGTGCTAATGTTGGGATAATTTTGGTAATTAAAATAGATAATGCATCAAAATGCCAAGACACAATCATAGCCTATATATCCGACAAAATAACTTTGCATCATGTTGATTAAAACTAAAGCCAAAAACAATTAACAAAATGACAGATGATCAAAGCCAGAATCACATGGTTCAACAACAGTTACATACACGTAAAAAAAACCCTAATTAATCAACATATTGTCCTTGAAATAGTTATTTTTATAGCAATCACAAAAACCCTTTAATTCCCAGGAGACCTCCAGGCCATGATTCAGTGCACACAAGGGGCACCTGCAAAAAGATGAGAGCAAACAAATACTTGTGAGGTTGTTTTCACATTCCCATACATGAGAAAACCCAAGACATATGGTTTTGACTTGATCGAACTACAACCGTCGGATGACCACCTTATGATAAAAAGTGATCGGGAACATGTGATGTAGAATGAACACTTTCCTAATTGGACTTATCCTTGATGTAATTTTGTACAAGAGGACCCATTACCAGTACGAAATGATTACATGGAAAGTGCATGACACTGGTATAGCTTGCTTGCTGTGTGCGAAACCTGACTGGACCATGCACATCACGGAGTAAAGTTCTCTTATGAGACCTATATTGTTTTTATATATATGTTTACATTATCAGACTGTGAATTCAGATTACGAATTTAAGCAATCTAATCAGTAGTTCATATTCATAATTTAGCAACGTATGATCTTGATAGAGTGTCCCTTTTTCTTTCTTGGACAATGAAGTTTTCAAAATGCAGAAATCCAAGTTTAGTAAGTGCATCTAGGAGTGTATATCTCTAAAATATATCTCATATGGCATTGCAGGTATGGACATTAAAAAAAAACAGGTGGGGCACATGAAGAGAACTTGACATACTACTGTTAAGTGCATTATTTGGCCATCCACAGTTTGTTATGAGGTCGCACATCAAAGGACATGCAATATGTAGTGCTGGAAGATCAAAGTACTATTGGGTCCAAAATGTTAAAGCACTCTGAAACAATATTTTACATGCATGGTCATGCTGATGGGTTAGGATAATTGCCCAATGATTGGATCAAGATTTGACAAATTAGCTCCACTATGGCATTTGAGCTTTATAATGAAAAAGATAATTAGACCCTTTTATATTATCCACTATTCCTTCTCTTTTCAATGTTCTGCTATGTTAACGTCTCTCGTGCTTTTAGACTTTAATATTATGTCAAATTATAAGATGAAAGGTTAAAACATAAAATTTAACCCACAAAAAAGTATATATCTATTCTAGTTTTAGTATTGAGGGTCATTATCTAATTAATGCTGGATTTTATTAGTGTGGAAACATATGCCGTCTTTGAATGATAGAGAGTGGTATGTACCTTGAATTGGAAGCAAAGAAACCGATTCATAAGCATCATTTTCGACATTGGAGATGAGCTCTACTGCACTGGGCTGCTTCTGGCCATCTGATTTGTGAATCTTGACTTCAAGCTCTGCTGGATGGATCTTCCTCTTCAACATCCTCCTCATCAGCTATGACATTACAGATTAGGAACTCATTCAGTGAACTATGAAAAACAAGACCATGACAGTGATATGACTCTCTCCACAGTAATTATACCTCGCAAAAACTACAAAAATGTACCGTTATTAAATTACTAGCTAATAAGTGCGTGCCCTTCCTAAATTAATTAGGAAAAGAAATGTGCA